GCTCATTAAGTGTTGCACCCATATACACACCCTTCTTCTCCCTTACAACGTCAGAGCATTTGCACCAACGCCCACCAAAACCACACCAATAAAGGGAGACGGTTGGACCATGCTTCCTCTCTTGGACGGTCTTCGCAACATCGTTTGCTTCCTTGACCCCATTCACACGCTACAGTTTTTTATGGTTTTGTCACTTCATTGTACGGGGGTGGTGGGGTGCAATGGTCGTATGAAAGTGAGGTCATGGAAATTGGGGTGGGCTGGACTTGGTTTGAAGTGGGAGTGTGACGTGTGCAGGAAGTCGATGACTTATTGGTCCATAAAACGGCAGCCACCAAACACCGATCCTTCTGTCCCTGGTCGAAAGCGTATGCCTCTGATGCAAAGGTTCATGGCGTCTTTTGCACTTGCTGGCATAGGGCATCAGGTGATGTCAGAGGTGGGTCGAAATGTAGGTGTTTGTGTACCATGTAAGACCACATTCTACAAGTATATGAGAGGGGCCGTTCGCTGTTCCTGTTCGCTATGTACCATAACTTTGATGCATTATGACTGCCCTTCATTCTTTTACTGGTCAGGTTTTGATTTAGGTGCAAGGGCAAACTCAATGTACTCGAAAAACCCTAAACCCATCACACACAGGTGATTTACTCAACACGCGATGATGAACGAAGATGGAGTGGGGGCAATGGGTGGGGCAGCAGAGCGTGGGGCAGCAGAGCGTTGGGCAACAGAGTGCATGGCAGAAGGGCACGGTGCAGCATAATAGTGTGGAGCAGCAGATAGTGGGGCAGGAGAGAGTGGGGCAGCAGAGCGTGGGGCAGGAGAGAGTGGGGCAGCAGAGCGTGGGGCAGAGAAGTGTGGGGCAGCAAAGTGTGGGGCAATTGGCCTGTGGGGCTGAAGAGCGTGGGGCAGCAGATGGTGGGGCAGCCAAGGGTCGGGGCAGCAGAGTGGCGGGCACTGGATCAGCATAGCGTGGAGCAGCAGAACGTGGGGCCGTAGAGTGTGGGGCCGCAGATTGGCCGGCAGCAGAGAGTGGGGCCGTAGAGTGTGGGGCCGCAGATTGGCCGGCAGCAGAGAGTGGGGCCGTAGAGTGTGGGGCCGCAGATTGGCCGGCAGCAGAGAGTGGGGCCGTAGAGTGTGGGGCCGCAGATTGGCCGGCAGCAGAGAGTGGGGCCGTAGAGTGTGGGACCGCAGATTGGCCGGCAGCAGAGAGTGGGGCCGTAGAGTGTGGGGCAGCAGAGTGTGGGGCTGTATATTGTGGGGCTCTGCTGCCTGTGCTGCGCATAATACGAATCCAGCACCTGCTCTATCACCTCCATGAGCATCTCCGGTTTTCTGTGCATTGCAGCTCGACTGGATTTATGGGACCAGTGGTAGGGTATTCAAAGTGGAGGCGCGGCACGGCGTTGTCTGCTCTATGTCAACGCGGAAACAAGTGCACTAGTAAACGCGCCTCTATGTGTATCTTATGTGCCATAACGCAATGGATCACACTGTGGTGTTGTGCTTCTGACATGGTGCCAAGGGTAATTCTGTAATACCTATAACCCCCATAGTACCGTACAACCCCCAGGACTTACTATCAACCCTATTTACTATTTACCAAGATTCTGCATGTGCGTACAATAGTAAGGATCGACGTGTGTTATTGGCTCTTTTTGTCGTGTGAAATACCCCATTGCTTTATATTGACGGCTAGCATGACACGTTACAACAAATGTGTAGCTTCATCATGATGAGGGTACACCCAGATTGATATAAAATATTGCCGTGTGAGCATAGCGCTGCAGGAGCCCTGTGTGGATTCTTCGCGGCAGGTAGGCGCACCGTGTGCCTGCCGCCATTGAGGAGAATCGAGGGCACGGGTGAAAGAGGCAGAACAGAGAGGAGAGAATGGTTGCCTTGAGGAAATTGGAGGGCAGGGAGGAGAGAGGATGGAATGAGAAGTGAGAGGGCAGATTGGGAGCGCCAAGGCGTGGAAGAGAGGAATTAGGGGATGAAGTGGGGAGAGAGGGGAGGAAGAGCGCACACCCATACCCACCCGCATGTGCATGCCAGATGGCGATGTGAGGTTGTTGATGACAGGCGGCACCTGTGGTATGGAGGGCACAGCGGGCATGATTGCGAGGATATGAGGTGAGGAGTGAAGATGGGGAGCATGAGCATTGACACATGGGACATGACAGCACATGGTTCCCTGGGCAAACGGGGAAGGGGAACGCAGACCACTGGACAGAGTCGAATGGAGGGACCGGTAATTAGAGGAACAAAGGAGTTGAAGTGCCGGCATTTTGGAGATTGGAGGGCTCGAAGGAAAGAGTAGGAAGTGCAGGGCAGGGCAGGGCGATCTTGGTAATCAAGTTCGTTACATGTAAGCATGCGAGAGTAGTGCAATCCTGATGGGACTCGTGCACGCCGACACGAGTAGAAAGGAAGGGGAAGCTAATCATCTCCACCAGGAAGAGGAACAAGGGTCAGGGCGGAGCACCTGCAGTAAGGATGGGAGAGTGATGAGGAAGAGGTGAGGTCACAGATGAGAGCGACCGGCAAGAGTAGAGGGGTGAGAGTAGAGGCATGAGAGTAGAGGGGTGAGAGTAGAGGCGTGAGAGTAGAGGCGTGAGAGTAGAGGGGTGAGAGTAGAGGGGTGAGAGTAGAGGGGTGAGAGTAGAGGGGTGAGAGTAGAGGCGTGAGAGTAGAGGGGTGAGAGTAGAGGCGTGAGAGTAGAGGCGTGAGAGTAGAGGGGTGAGAGTAGAGGGGTGAGAGTAGAGGGGTGAGAGTAGAGGCGTGAGAGTAGAGGGGCGAGAGTAGAGGGGTGAGAGTAGAGGGGTGAGAGTAGAGGGGTGAGAGTAGAGGGGTGAGAGTAGAGGCGTGAGAGTAGAGGCGTGAGAGTAGAGGCGTGAGAGTAGAGGGGTGAGAGTAGAGGGGTGAGAGTAGAGGGGTGAGAGTAGAGGGGTGAGAGTAGAGGGGTGAGAGTAGAGGCGTGAGAGTAGAGGCGTGAGAGTAGAGGCGTGAGAGTAGAGGCGTGAGAGTAGAGGCGTGAGAGTAGAGGGGTGAGAGTAGAGGGGTGAGAGTAGAGGGGTGAGAGTAGAGGGGTGAGAGTAGAGGAGTGAGAGTAGAGAGGCGAGGAGGCAGAGAGGCGAGGAGGCAGAGAGGCGAGGAGGCAGAGAGGCGAGGAGGCAGAGAGGCGAGGAGGCAGAGGCAGAGAGGCGAGGAGGCAGAGAGGCGAGGAGGCAGAGAGGCGAGGAGGCAGAGAGGCGAGGAGGCAGAGAGGCGAGGAGGCAGAGAGGCGAGGAGGCAGAGAGGCGAGGAGGCAGAGAGGCGAGGAGGCAGAGAGGCGAGGAGGCAGAGAGGCGAGGAGGCAGAGAGGCGAGGAGGCAGAGAGGCGAGGAGGCATAGAAGCAAGGAGGCGTGGTGGCGAGGATGCGAGGGTCGGGGCTGCAGCTGCTCGTGCTGAGTGGTGTGGTGGGTATTGAAAGAGGAGGATGAGTGTGGTGGTGTCGAGAGGGTCAGGTGAGAGTGAGACTGCAGGCATGGAGGGCTGGGGAGGGGAAGGAGAGAAGGGGTTTTTGCGGTGACGCTGAGTGAGAGGGGGAGGAGGAAGCGTGATGTGGTGCCGAACTCGAAGGCGGCGGAGAGAGGGATTGGCGGGAAAGTAGGGTGATGGGGTGGGGGAAGAGGAACGGGTGGGAAAGTAAAAGTGGGGAAGGGCACCCTGGTGCGGTGGCGTGCTGGCGGGGTGGAAACTTGGCGTGGAGGCGAGGAGGCGAGGTGGCGCTCCCGCGAAGAGGCGCGGAGGCGAGGTGGGGAGGTGGCGCTACCGCGAGGAGGCGCGGAGGCGCGGAGGCGAGGCAGCGAGGTAATGAGGTGGCGCGGAGGCGAGGAGGAGGGGAGACGCTGCCGACGCGTTCCTTCAATGACGCGGAGCGCACACTAGCTGTAGGCGCGGCCTTGGGGCCGCAATTTTTTTAGTGAAGGTCAGCGAGATGAATACGGGATGGGAGGCGGGGTTCCTTTGTCAGATTACGCTTGTAGTATTCTCGTCGCGGCAGAGAATACGCGACGAGTTCCTTGTTTGTAACCCTAACTCTCGTGCAGCGCCGAAGTGGCGGGTGCGACGTGGTCAGGCGAGCAGAGAATCGCCAGACGAAATCCATATCGCGAGGAAATGGGGCGGTCTACGCTAGTAACGTGCTGCCTATCACTACTAGTAAGAATAGGCAGGTCGAGAAAGAAGTACACAAACATTCGATGTGTCCGTCAAGATGTGTGGGAAATTGGATTGGGGGAAATTGAGGGGGGAATACCACTCTGAACCACTCCGCTTTCTTCCGCTAAGCAAGAAATTGTTTCCCCCACCTCCACAGTCGGGAAACGCCGTAACTCGGCCGGTCAAGGGATAACCTTTGATGAAATTGGAATGAATGTGCACCCTGGTTTTAAAGCCGGCGGCCCAAATTGTTCATGCTTTTAAAAGTTGACCAGAGGGAGTTTTTCTGGTGTGGGCTTTGGCGAGAGTTTCCGATTTCGTCTAGGTTCGTTTTTTTCGCGAGACCCAGCCAACCCTCGGTTTTCCCCCTGGTGAGTGAATCTGTCTTCGAAAGTCCCAAATTGCAGGTGCGTGACTTTCAAAAGCTTGGACACTCAACTTCGTCAAGTTTTAAAAACTTGACCCTCGCGGCCCGCAATTTGGGACTTTAAAGAGAGCGGTTATGCAAATCGAACACATCTGATTGGTTCCCGCCAAACCCAAAAAATTGATGACAGCACGTCAGGTGTCGCATCTCTGTTTTTGAAGTCGCACAACAAAGCACTGCGATCGTTTTGTCACGTCCAAGCGATCTCCGCCCAGTTTTGGGTTCAAGTTGGGCTGGGGTGAACTAGTACTAGTTCGTCCGTTCATTTGCACCTGCTCCTTAGTTATACGGTACTTCTCTAGCTATAGAACATTGAAATTAGGCCGTTGTTACCGCAATTCTGACGCGTAGAAACTAGTGGGCATGGTTGCGATTTACTTATGCCGTTGTATCGTCCTCTCGCCGCCCTCCTATCCCATCTCGTTTGCCCTCCCGTTCCAATTGACCTTGCGCCGTCCGTCCCGTCGCCGCCCTGTCGCCCTTCGCCTCGCGATCGTGTCGTCCGTTCCGTCGCCCGTCGCGTCGCCTCCCTGTCGTCCATTCCGTCGCCCTCCCGCCGGCATCATGCCATCAGTTTTCTCGATCGCTCTCTCCCCTCTCTCGTCGCCCTTCCTCTCTCGTCGCGCTTCCTCTCCCGTCGCCCTTCCTCTCCCGTCGCCCGTCTTCTCTCCCGTCGCCCTTCCTCGCTCCCGTCGCCCTTCCTCTCTCCCGTCGCCCTTCTCTTCTCCCGTCGCCCTTCCTCTCCCGTCGCCCTTCCTCGCTCTCGTCGCCCTTCCTCACTCCCGTCGCCATTCCTCTCTCATCGCCCTTCCTCTCCCGTCGCCCTCCCTCTCTTCCGTCGCCCTTCCTCTCCCGTCGCCCTTCCTCTTCCGTCACCCTTCTTCTCTCCCCTCCCGCTCCGTCGTACTTCCTCTCTCCCATCCCATTCCGTCGTTATACCTCTCTCCCCTCCCATACCGTCGTTCTTCCTCTCTCCCCTCCCATACCGTCGTTCTTCCTCTCTCCCCTCCCATTCCGTCGTCCTTCCTCTCTCCCCTCCCATTCCGTCGTTCTTCCTCTCTCCCCTCCCATTCCGTCGTTCTTCCTCTCTCCCCTCCCCTCCCGTCGTTCTTCCTCTCTCCCATCCCATTCCGTCGTCCCCTCCCATCGGCCTCGTTGTCACGTTCTTCCCGTCGCATCTCCGTAGCGCTCACGTTCTTCCCGTCGCATCTCCGTAGCGCTCACGTTCTTCCCGTCGCATCTCCGTAGCGCTCACGTTCTTCCCGTCGCATCTCCGTAGCGCTCACGTTCTCCCCTCGCATCTCCGTAGCGCTCACGTTCTCCCCTCGCATCTCCCTAGCGCTCACGTTCTCCCCTCCCCTCGCCCTCGCGCTCACGTTCTCATGTCTTCGCATCGCCTTCGCGCTCATGGTCTCCACTCCCATGTCCCTGTCGCGCTCAGAATCTCCCCTCCCTTCTCCCAAGTACCACACGTTATCCCCTCCCCTCGCCATCATGCACAAGTTCTCACCTCTCACTCTCCGTTTCCGTCTCCCTGACTCTCTTTGTTTATCACCTCCTTTTTGTGTTTCTCCGCATACTTCACACCCCAAACCCATTCCGCAAAACGCATTCCTACAGCTCTCGCTTTCTGCAGAAGAGTCAGGCGCTGCCAATGCCACTAGTGCCACTAAACCCGCCTGCATTTTCCTCGGCTTCGAATTTGGAATGTGAATGTGGCACTTATGTGAATTTGGCACTTCTTGCGACGCATTTGCCCAACCCTGCGGCAAGTTTCCTCGATCAAACTTGGAAAGCTGGTTCAGTATCAGGAAAAAAAGAAAATCTGCAAGCCATTACACCCTACAAACGTAACCTCTATATCAGTGTATCAAGTGGAGCCAACTAGAAGGGGGGGGTCACTATTTTGCCTACGGGCTTTACACTTCCATTGGCATTCTCTTTGACATTTCTCTTTTGGAAAATTTCCTGGTTTAGGAAAATCAAAACCGGTCGCCCTTCGCAGGAGCTTCTGAATCTGGACTCCCTCCCTTCCTCCCTCCCTCCCCTCCCTCCCTCCCTCCCTCCCCTCCCTCCCTCCCTCCCTCCCTCCCTCCCTCCCTCCCCTCCCTCCCTCCCTCCCCTCCCTCCCTCCCTCCCTCCCTCCCTCCCTCCCTCCCTCCCTCCCTCCCTCCCTCCCTCCCTCCCTCCCCACCCTCCCTCCCTCCCTCCCTCCAGCCAAAGGGACAGCAACAGGAGCTGAAAGCGACGAGAGGCGGGCGTGGTCGCGAAAGAAACGCTAAGAAGTGTTGGAGTTGAGCGTCAAAGAGAGCGACGCGTTAGTAGTGGACGCACCTGTGCCAGAAGATTCGACACTAGAGATAGCTAAAGATCCTAGTCTAAGTACACACGAATAAAAAGATCCAGCAGTACTATACTCATCAACAGCGTACAGAACAGAAAAAATATCAGACATGTCCATACTAAACAAAGGCAAACCACGCTGCAGCAGCGCAAGCCAGTCCGGGGTGACCACCTGAGACAAAAAGCGAAAGCGATAAAGGTCGTCGAGGCGGCGGAAGCAACGCATAGCGGAGTGATCATGTCGCCCGCAGACGGTGCCAGCACCCGGACCAGTCAGAAGTCGGTACTGACAGGGCCCGACGTCCCGACGATGCGCCACCCAGTTGCCAGGGCTGCCACCGCAGCCGACGCTCCCCGGACCACTAGGTCTCCACTGCTGCAGAGAGGCCCAATGCTCGATCTGCTGCTGCTGCTGCGTCACCGCCACACCCCTAGGACCAGCACCTCTTCCGCCCGTACCACCAGACTCAGGACCTCCTCCAGCGTCTTCTCCCCCAGACGTACCAGCACTTCCACCGCCTCCACCTCCTCCACCCCCTCCACCCCCTCCACCCCCTCCACGCCCCCGACCACCCTTGCGACGTCGCTGCTCACTAGAGGCAGCAACTGCTGCAACCTCTGTCGGGGCAGCAGGCTCGGCAACAGCAGCCGACGCAGAGGCGGCGGCGAGGAAGGATGGGACGCATCCCTCAAACATGGGGGGAAGCACTGTACTAGAGGAGGAGGCTATGGCGAGTAAGCGGGTCTCGATCTTAGTGAGACGCTTCTCAAAGAAATCGATAGTGAGGTTCATTGGGTGTTTTGCGAGGAAAGCGTCGCGAGCAGGTGCGAATCGGTCAGGAAGGCGGGTCGCGAGGAGGTACAGGGTGATATACATGGGGGGCGGGTGCACAGCAAGGACCTCAGTAGTGCAAGCTGCACGGTAGCTAGCGTCAAGCGAGCGCAGGTGGGTAACGAGATCAGCAACGGTGGAGAACGCAGAGAGATGTGGAAAGAGGAAAGGCAGAAAGAGGCGGCCCAAAGAGGCGGAGGAGGGAGTGGAGTAGCGAGCGATAACAGCATCAAAGCACTCCTTTGCTGTCTCCACATGGCAAAAGTGTTTCCGCTCGGCCTGCGGGAGGTGGCGACCGATAGCAAGGCGCGCAGCGGCGTCGCGCGCCTCCCACTGCGTGCGCTCTAGTCGAGCCTCGCAGTACTCCTCCTTCTGCGCTGGCGTGGCGTCAGCAGCAAGACCAAAAGGACGCGGCGGGGCTGGGAGCTCACCCGAAGCGTGATCGTACAGGGAGATGTCATGCTGAAGCTGGCTCCGCAGGTAGAGCTTGAGTTCCAGCAGCCACGAAGCGAAGTCGATCGCACGGCCCTCCGCATCGAAACGCAAGACTGACTCAGACTCGAGCTGGCGCGGGCAGTGGGCGGCTGGTGAGAGCGGCACGCGGGCTGGCGCAGGCTGGCACGTGGCCTGCTCGGGCTGGCGGGCTGGCGGGCGCAAGCTGGCGCTGCTGGCTGGTGCGAGCTGGCACTGCTGCAGTTTCTGCTGCTCTTGGAGATTTTGCTCAAGACACAACTGGCTAGGTGTGTTCCTCGAAGCAAATACCAGCTGATCCTTCTCACTCCCCTGGTACTTAGCCAAATACTTCGCACGCTTAGAATACCCTTCCAGCAGCAGCGGCGCTCTCCCACTCCTCTCCATCGCCCCCCCTGCTATCATGAGCAGCACACACGCTGCTTCTACGTGGGAGGGAGGGGGAATGGACGGAGGATCGCCCAAAAGGACCTGGAGGAGGGAGGGAAGCGAGGGGTGTATGGGAGAGAAGCGATGGGTGGAAGGGAGGTGAACGAAGGGGGTAACCTTCCAACAGTAGTGGCACTCTCCCACTCCTCTCCATCGCCCCCCTTGCTATCGTGAGCAGCACACACACTGCTTCTACGTGGGAGGGAGGGGGAATGGACGGAGGATCGCCCAAAAGGACCTGGAGGAGGGAGGGAAGCGAGGGGTGTATGGGAGAGAAGCGGTGGGTGGAAGGGAGGTGAACAAGGGGGGTAACCTTCCAACAGTAGTGGCACTCTCCCACTCCTCTCCATCGCCCCCCTCGCAATCATGAGCAGCACACACACACTGCTTCTGCATGAGGAGGAGGGACAGATGCTGGGTTAACCAACAGCTCCTGTAAAGGGAAATACGGGGGAGGACGGAGGTAAGGGAGGAAGGCGAGAGATGTACGGAAGGGGGAAGGGGGCTAGCATGAGAATGGCGCTTTTCCCTGTCAATAAACCGGTGAGCAGCACACACACAGCTATTTTTGAGTCGACTCAAAAAGGGGCTAGCATGAGAATGGCGCTTTTCCCTGTCAATAAACCGGTGAGCAGCACACACACAGCTATTTTTGAGTCGACTCAAAAAGGGGCTAGCATGAGAATGGCGCTTTTCCCTGTCAATCAACCGGTGAGCAGCACACACACAACTTCCACGTGGGAGGGAGGGGGGATGCTATCGTGAGCAACCAATCAGGAACCGTCCCAACCAATCATCACCCCCCTGCTATCGTGAGCAGCATCAAGAGAGATACTTCGAAGAGCGTGTGTCTTGACCAATCATTACTTCCCTGTTATCGAGAACAACATCAGTAAAAAAAAAGGGCCACTCCACTCACCTGCTCACCAGCGCACACGAAATCAAACCACTCACCTGCACACACGCATGAACCACCGGTTCCGGAATCATTTTCTGAAGGAACAGCTCTCCAATCAGTCGAAAGGTGCCCACTGTCCGTGCCTTGGCCCTGCGCTGCTCCTTCTCCTCCTCTCCCGCCTTCTCACTCTCTCGCTCCTTCTCCCTCTTCTCCCTTTCATCATCCTCGTTAGTATCTTTCTCCCCCTCTCTCCCACCCTCCTCATCCCCCTCCTTCTCTCCCTCATCTTCCCCCCTTTCTCCTCTCTCTCCTTGCACTTCCTTTGTGCAATTCTCTCCCTTTCCCTTTCTCTTTCTCCCTCCCCTTTTCCTTCCCCTCTTTTTTGCTCCTTTCCCTTCTCCCTCCCCTTCTCCAATCTCCTTTACTCCTCTCCCTTCTTCCCCCTCCCGTTTTCTCCAGTCAACTTTCCCCCCCTCCTCTCCCATCTCCTCTCCCCCCTCCTCCTCTCCTCCCTCCTCTACTCCTTTCCCTTCTCCCCCCTCCTGCTCTCCCCCGTTGACTTTTCCCCGCTCCTCCTCTCGCCTCTCCTCTCCCCCCCCATCCTCTCCTCCCTCCTCTCCTTCCGTGCTTCCTTCCTGCAATGATTCCAGCAGCTCGCCAGCCTGCCACAGGACAAAACGAGGAAGAGAGAGAGAGCAGGGGCCGCGGAAGAGGACAGACATTGGAACCCCTTTCCTTCAATGCTCTCCCTCCCTCCTCTCCTCCCTCGTCCCTTCTTCTTCAATGCCGTCCTTCCTCCTTTGAGTAATTCCAGCAGCTCGCCAGCCTGGCACGGAGGAGGGGGAGGGGGAGGGAGAGATGAGGTGATTACCTGCAGTCTCACTCAGCTTATCCGCACGTTTTGACTCCTCCTTCTCACACGTGCCCAGCAACACAGAGGTGTTTCCTACCTACCTGCAGCCTCTCTCAGCTTAGCAGCAAAGGGTGTCCTTTCTGCAGTTTAGACTCCTCCTCCTCACACGTTCTCACTGCCCAGAAGAACAGGTTCCTCGAGCCACTACCTGCATTCCGCAACCATTTACCACCGCACCCCACCCCACCCCATCCCACCACACCCCGCTGCACCGCACCCCACCCCATCCCACCACACCGCACCCCACCTGCAGCTTAACAGCGCGTTCAAACTCCTCCTGACACGTGTTCAGCAGAACACAGCGGAAGGAGATCGGCTCACCCCGCCCTTCCCCAGCGCCCCCTTCCTCCCCCCCTGCCCCGTTGGACGGCGGAAGCTCGGGCAGCACTCGCGAAAGTTTTTCGCAGAGGGCAGCGTACATGGGGCAGAAGGTGGGTTCATCTACTGCCTTGGTGAAAATTAATTTAATCACTCCCTGAGAGAGGGCGGGCGGAGAGAAGAGGGGGTGAGGAGAGGGGAGGGAGAAGATGGGTGAGAGGGGAGCGAAGGAAGAGGGGAGGTGGGAAAGATGGGAGGGGGAGAAGGGGGGTTTGAGTTGATGTGAGTTATACATTCAGTGAGAAGAGGCGAATGGAGTGGATTCTAGAAGGTGGGTTAGTCTACTGCCTTAGTGAAAGAATAAAGATATCAATGCAATTGTGAAGGGGGTGGGGATGGGGGGATTAACAATGCAATTGTGCAGCAATCATTCAAATCGGTGTGTTTAATATTAGAAAGCAAGAACGGCGACTTCTGAGCAGACGTGCACTTCGTCTGTTGAATTCACCTGAAATAAATGAAACATGCCTGCTCTGTTAGAATCACCTGGAGGATCTCATGTGTGTTGATGCCAGCTGTCAGGAGCTGCAGGAAAAGCGGATCGAACATCTCAGGTGTGAGCTTGTTCAGAATGCTGCGGAGGACAAGGGCGAAGGTGGAAGGTGGAAGGGGGAAGGGGGGAGAGGGAAGGGAAAGAAGGGGTTGCGGAGGGGGAAGGGGAGTGGGGAGGGGGAATGAGAAGTCTTAAAGCCTGAAGAGAAGTTCGAACATTCCAGTGTGAGCGGTGTGAGGGGAGCATTGTTCTAACATCTCGGTGTGAGCTTGTTCAGAATGCTGCCGCAAGAGGGCGAAAGGGAAGGGGGAATGGGGAAGGGGAACGGGGGAAGGCTTAATGTGCCTTGTCACACCTCATTAAACTCAAACTCGCCCCAGCCTGTAACGGGTACAATTCAGCGGCCGTACGTACCCTTCCACGGTCCGCAATACTTTCTGCTTCTCATCTGCCACGCGTCCACGTGGCACCCACGGATTGGCTGTCTCGACGATGGTGGTAAGATCCATGGTCAGGATTCGTCCTTGCTGCGAATCGACGGCTTCTAGAATCGCAGGGATGCTACATTACTATTGTCCGTTAATATCCTCCAAATGGCGTTGGCTAATCATCAGCCGTCGATCTTCCCTCGAATCTGCATCGGGTGGAGCTTCAGACGAGCTTTGTATTCGCGTGCGGATGCATTTCTGAACCAGAACCGATATTCTAAGACTTTTCGTTTCTCTGTCGAAATAATAGGAGCATGAAATCGCGGAAAGCAAATGATTACATTGGGGAATGGCAAGCGACAGGAAAAGCGACGAGGAGTTCACATTACAAGAGTAGCATTGCGGTTCACACTAGAAACTCTGCTGGCATTGCAAGAGCTAACGGATGCAGTAATTTATTTACAATTCTGGGCTTATCTCTCCAGAATGGGCGAAATATGGATTGGACTTTTGGTTACCGCTGAAATATGGATTGTGCGTATACTTTCGCACAAATGAAACTTCTAGTATTTCACAGGCATTCTTCAGCTCACATTTGCTTTCGCGATCGCGTTCACGAACAGGTAACAATGTCGCAACAGAACGCAAACTTCCAGTTTGAGGGTAACTCAGCCGATAACGCCAGTTGGGTTCACTTAGATGCTGCGCACCTGCATCAGAATCAATGGCGGCTTTTCTACTGGGCACGTGATTTGATGAATCGGCTGTCCAGTAGCACCTTGTTGTGATTTAAAGCGGTTCTCGACCTTTTGTCCTGAGAATAAGGACGTTCGCATATCTTTTAGTCGACTCAAAAAGCCGTGCTCGGCCTTCTATCCTTCTCAGAGAATAAGGATGTTCCTATCAAACAAGGAGCCACTCGTGTAACGCGTATGCACACACACAAGGCGCCCAGCGCACAGGCGCTGCTTACGCGGTTGATTGCACATACTCCTTTTCCAACGCGAATTTTTTTCCACCTTATATAAAGATTTCCGTTACTAGGACCTAGTCGCATGGCGGCAACGGCAGCGGTAGCGGCGGGCCCGCGGGCTCCTTCGCAGGAGCTTCTGGACGACCTCTGCAGGTAGGCTCTGGCGACCTGTGCGACAGTTGCGAGCCTTGCGACGTCTCAAATACCCCTGTCCCCTACCAGTCGCTTCGGTTTCTCGACGTGCCACGGGAGGGAGGACCTTCCAGGCACCTCAAACACCCCAAACACCCCCTTCTTCCTCTCCCCTGCCCCTATCTCGCCCACCAGTCGCTTTGTGTTCAACGTGCCAGAGGAGGACCTGGAGTCGTTCGAGCGCATGCAACCCCCCTTCTTCTCCCCCTTCTGCTCCCACAGACAACCCCCCCTTCCCCCTCCCCCGGCCCTGCCTCCCACCAGTCGCTTTGTGTTCAACGTGCCAGGGGAGGACCTGGAGTCGTTTGAGCGCATGCTCTTCTCCATCGAACAGGTGCCGCACTGCACTGCACTGCACTGCACTGCTTAGCACCGCTTAGTATCGCTTTGCTCCGCTTGGCACCCCTTTGTACCGCTTACTTTTGTGCAGTGTTGCTTTCTTCCAGACGTCCCAAACGTTTGAGTGCACTCTTCTCTCCATCTAACAAGTGCCAGCCACTGCACTGTTCAGTACCACGTTGCACCTCGTTATACCTCTTAGTACTGCTCTGACGACATGAGAGTGCTCACGGGGCAGTGCTGACGGTGCATGATGTGCTGCGTGCTGACGTGGCAGGCGCATTGGTTCTATGAAGACAAGTGTCGTGAGCGGTACACGCCACCTCTGCGCTCATTCTCCCTCCGCGATTTCACCAACCTCCGTGCGTGGGTTGTCCTTTACTCACTTCCCTCCCCCCGTCCTCCACCACTGCCCTTGCCTTTCTGTTTTCCTTGACCGCCCTGCGCGTTGGTCGTCCTTTACTCTGTTCCCCTCTCTCCGCCAACCGTGCACTCATCACCCTCCCGGATTTCACCTCCCTGCTCCTACTCCCTGCTCCTACTCCCTGCTCCTACTCCCTGCTCCTACTCCCTGCTCCTACTCCCTGCTCCTACTCCCTGCTCCTACTCCCTGCTCCTACTCCCTGCTCCTACTCCCTGCTCCTACTCCTGGAGAGAGTGGGACGGTCATCACCCTCCCTGCTCTCGTTTTGAGACGTCTCAAGAGTGGGACGGTCATCACCCTCCCTGCTCTCTCCAGGAGTAGGACCGTCCTACTCTCTCCTCCCCGCTCCTCCACTCCTACCATTGCCTTCTTACTCCCCTTCTCCCGCCCTCTCCCACCCCCTCATCACCCTCCGCGGCTTCACCAACCTCCGTGCATTGACCGTCTTCCTGTTATTTGCTCTTCCCCCCTTCCCCCTACCCCTCCCCTCCCCTCCCCCCACCTTCTCCTCCATCACTGCATGTCTCTCTTCTCCCGTCCATCCCTGAAGACTTTTGAGTCGACTCAAAATTCTTCTCCCGTCCATCCCTGAAGCCATATGCAGCAAGAGTGATCAACATTCAGAACGAATTCGCCGTCCCCTCTTTTCCCCACACCAGCCATAGTTAGGAAGCATGCATGTGCCCCCACTATCCCCTCTCCGCTGCACTCTCCCCCTCCCACCGTCAGTATTTACTATTTATTTCAGCGCTGTGTGGCACTTGAAACTTGTAGGTGAAACCCTATGCCGCCCAGGTGAACAACATTAACAACGATTTCACCATACAAGTTTCAAGTGCCTGCCCCCCCTGTCCCCCCTGTCCCCCCTGTCCCCCCTGTCCCCCCTGTCCCTCCTGCCCCTCCTGTCCCCCCTGTCCCCCCTGCCCCTCCTGTCCCCCCTGTCTCCCCTGTCCCCCCTGCCCCCCTGCCCCTCCTGTCCCCCCTGCCCCCCCTGTCCCCCCTCTCTGCCCCCCTCGCAGTGTTTCAACGTTGTGTAGCGTTGAAGCCCTACGCAGCAAGGGTCAACGACATATACAACGAGTTCACCAGCTTCAAGTTCAAAGTGCCTGTTCCCCCTGTCCCCCCTGTCCCCCCTGCCCCCCCTGCCCCTCCTGTCCCCCCTGTCCCCCCTGTCCCCCCTGTCCACCCTGCCCCCCCTCTCTGCCCCCCTCGCAGTGTTTCAACGTTGCGTAGCATTGAAGCCCTATGCAGCAAGGGTGAACGACATATACAATGACTTCACGAGCTACAAGTTCAAAGTGCCCGTCACTGGGGCGATCATCCTTGACCATTCAATGACCCGGGTATGTATGCGTAAACATTTTCTAACTCTTAAATCGGTGGGTGTGTCTTCTCCTACCCTTCCCGCGCCTTAACAATCCCTGCGTTGATCATCCTCTCATCATCCTCTCATCATCCTCTCATCATCCTCTCATCATCCTCTCATCATCCTCTCATCATCCTCTCATCATCCTCTCATCATCCTCTCATCATCCTCTCATCATCCTCTCATCATCCTCTCATCATCCTCTCATCATCCTCTCATCATCCTCTCATCATCCTCTCATCATCCTCTCATCATCCTCTCATCATCCTCTCATCATCCTCTCATCATCCTCTCATCATCCTCTCATCATTCTCTCATCATCCTCTCATCATCCTCTCATCATCCTCTCATCATCCTCTCATCATCCTCTCATCATCCTCTCATCATCCTCTCATCATCCTCTCATCATCCTCTCATCATCCTCTCATCATCCTCTCATCATCCTCTCATCATCCTCTCATCATCCTCTCATCATCCTCTCATCATCCTCTCCTCATCATCCTCTCATCATCCTCTCATCATCCTCTCATCATCCTCTCATCATCCTCTCATCATCCTCTCATCATCCTCTCATCATCCTCTCATCATCCTCTCATCATCCTCTCATCATCCTCTCATCATCCTCTCATCATCCTCTCATCATCCTCTCATCATCCTCTCATCATCCTCTCATCATCCTCTCATCATCCTCTCATCATCCTCTCATCATCCTCTCATCATCCTCTCATCATCCTCTCATCATCCTCTCATCATCCTCTCATCATCCTCTCATCATCCTCTCATCATCCTCTCATCATCCTCTCATCATCCTCTCATCATCCTCTCATCATCCTCTCATCATCCTCTCATCATCCTCTCATCATCCTCTCATCATCCTCTCATCATCCTCTCATCATCCTCTCATCATCCTCTCATCATCCTCTCATCATCCTCTCATCATCCTCTCATCATCCTCTCATCATCCTCTCATCATCCTCTCATCATCCTCTCATCATCCTCTCATCATCCTCTCATCATCCTCTCATCATCCTCTCATCATCCTCTCATCATTCCTCTCATCATCCTCTCATCATCCTCTCATCATCCTCTCATCATCCTCTCATCATCCTCTCATCATCCTCTCATCATCCTCTCATCATCCTCTCATCATCCTCTCATCATCCTCTCATCATCCTCTCATCATCCTCTCATCATCCTCTCATCATCCTCTCATCATCCTCTCATCATCCTCTCATCATCCTCTCATCATCCTCTCATCATCCTCTCATCATCCTCTCATCATCCTCTCATCATTCTCTCATCATCCTCTCATCATCCTCTCATCATCCTCTCATCATCCTCTCATCATCCTCTCATCATCCTCTCATCATCCTCTCATCATCCTCTCATCATCCTCTCATCATCCTCTCATCATCCTCTCATCATCCTCTCATCATCCTCTCATCATCCTCTCATCATCCTCTCATCATCCTCTCATCATCCTCTCATCATCCTCTCATCATCCTCTCATCATCCTCTCATCATCCTCTCATCATCCTCTCATCATCCTCTCATCATCCTCTCATCATCCTCTCATCATTCCTCTCATCATCCTCTCATCATCCTCTCATCATCCTCTCATCATCCTCTCATCATCCTCTCATCATCCTCTCATCATCCTCTCATCATCCTCTCATCATCCTCTCATCATCCTCTCATCATCCTCTCATCATCCTCTCATCATCCTCTCATCATCCTCTCATCATCCTCTCATCATCCTCTCATCATCCTCTCATCATCCTCTCATCATCCTCTCATCCTCTCATCATCCTCTCATCATCCTCTCATCATCCTCTCATCATCCTCTCATCATCCTCTCATCATCCTCTCATCATCCTCTCATCATCCTCTCATCATCCTCTCATCATCCTCTCATCATCCTCTCATCATCCTCTCATCATCCTCTCATCATCCTCTCATCATCCTCTCATCATCCTCTCATCATCCTCTCATCATCCTCTCATCATCCTCTCATCATCCTCTCATCATCCTCTCATCATCCTCTCATCATCCTCTCATCATCCTCTCATCATCCTCTCATCATCCTCTCATCATCCTCTCATCATCCTCTCATCATCCTCTCATCATCCTCTCATCATCCTCTCATCATTCTCTCATCATCCTCTCATCATCCTCTCATCATCCTCTCATCATCCTCTCATCATCCTCTCATCATCCTCTCATCATCCTCTCATCATCCTCTCATCATCCTCTCATCATCCTCTCATCATCCTCTCATCATCCTCTCATCATCCTCTCATCATCCTCTCATCATCCTCTCATCATCCTCTCATCATCCTCTCATCATCCTCTCATCATCCTCTCATCATCCTCTCATCATCCTCTCATCATCCTCTCATCATCCTCTCATCATCCTCTCATCATCCTCTCATCATCCTCTCATCATCCTCTCATCATCCTCTCATCATTCTCTCATCATCCTCTCATCATCCTCTCATCATCCTCTCATCATCCTCTCATCATCCTCTCATCATCCTCTCATCATCCTCTCATCATCCTCTCATCATCCTCTCATCATCCTCTCATCATTCTCTCATCATCCTCTCATCATCCTCTCATCATCCTCTCATCATCCTCTCATCATCCTCTCATCATCCTCTCATCATCCTCTCATCATCCTCTCATCATCCTCTCATCATCCTCTCATCATCCTCTCATCATCCTCTCATCATCCTCTCATCATTCTCTCATCATCCTCTCATCATCCTCTCATCATCCTCTCATCATCCTCTCATCATCCTCTCATCATCCTCTCATCATTTCCTTGTTGTTAGTATGTTTCCTATTTCACCCTGATCATGTCAGCTTAGCCACCTTGCTTGATATGTTAGTGTTCCGCTATTTCCGCCACCTCCCCTCTCTCCACCCCTGCCCTGCCGTGCTGCTACAGTGCATACTCGTTAAAGGGTGGCGAACATCTGCCAGCTGGGGCTTTCCCAAGGGAAAGAAGGGGCTCAAAGAGACGGACGCAGAGGCAGCGGTTAGGGAGGTGAGTGGTTGATGAGGGGAGGTTGTGTGTGTTGCTTGAGTGGTTAGAATGACGTTAAAAGGAAAGAGACGGACGCAGAGGCAGCAGTTAGGGAGGTGGGTACCTGGGGTGGGTAAGTGTTGGGTGGTTGGGGAGAGGTGAGTGGTTGGTGGTGAGGGGAGGTTGTGTGTGTGTTGCTTAGGAGGTCGAAGGGGGCCAGAAGGGACTCAAAGAAACAGATGCAGAGGCAGCAGTCAGGGAGTTGGGTGGATAGGGGGAGGTGAGTGGTTGGTGAGGGAAGGTTTTGTGTGCTGATTAAGAGGTTAAAGGGCAAGTAAGGGGTTCAAGGGAACATATGCTGAGGGCAGCAGTCAAAGAGGTGGTGACAGGGCAGCAGCAGCAGATCTTGGGACATTTTCCAGTGAGCAGCACATTTTTCCTACTTGCTTAAACCTATTCCTATGCAAGTGCTGCTCACTGGAAAATGTCCCACGGGCAGCAGTCAAGGAGGTGGTGACAGGGCAGCAGTCAAGGAGGTGGTGACAGGGCAGCAGTCAAGGAGGCGGTGACAGGGCAGCAGTCAAGGAGGCGGTGACAGGGCAGCAGTCAAGGAGGTGGTGACAGGGCAGCAGTCAAGGAGGCGGTGACAGGGCAGCAGCAGCAGCAGCAGCAGCATGAATCGTCCGTTTGTCTTCATATTCTCTTGTATCCTACGCTCTCCCCTCTTGTCAATACCTCCTCCCCTCCCATCGCAGCTGTGGAAAGAAACTGCGTTTGACATTTTATCTTTTGAGACGTCTCAAAAGTCATCGCAGCTGTGGAAAGAAACTGCGTTTGACATTTGATCTCCTCCGTGTGTTCTCTCTCACCCTCTCCCCTCCCGTGACAGGTGTGGGAGGAAACAGGGTTTGACCTCTCGTCTCTGGTCAACCCATCGGAATATCTGGAGGTGGTGGCAGGGCAGCAGCAGCAGCAGCAGCAGCATTAGTGATGCCTCGGATTCCATCCCTCTCCCTTGTCTTGATGCATGCAATCACAGGTGTGGGAGGAGACAGGGTTCGACATATCCCCTCTGGTCAACCCATCAGAATATCTGGAGGTGGTGGCAGGGCAGCAGCAGCAGCGCTAGTGATGGCTTGGATTCCATTATTCTCCCTTGTCTTGATGCATGCAATCACAGGTGTGGGAGGAAACAGGGTTTGATATCTCCCCTCTGGTCAACCCGCTAGAGTATCTGGAGGTGGTGGCAGGGCAGCAGCAGCAGCGCTCGCGCCTATTTGTGGTGGCGGGAGTTGACTCGCGATCTGCAATGTTCCAACCGCAAACAGTCAAGGAGATCAGCGTGAGTGCCTTGGGATGGGGTGGGGTGGGGTGGGGTGGGGTGGGTGCTGCCCTCTCTCCAATCTCTCACGGAATCGCCAGGCTTCTCGTCTGTAACGTGGCCAGGCAGGCCACAGCTGCTTCTTGAAGCTTCTTGAGGCGACTAAAAAGAGTTGCGGGTAAAGAGATGACTTTTGAGGCGACTAAAAAAACTGCGGGTAAAGAGATGACTTTTGAGGTGCCCCAAAAGGCGTGGCCAGGCAGGCCACAGCTGCTTCTTGAAGCTTCTCAAACCCCACCTGCTCGTCTTCTGAGGCGACTAAAAAAACTGCGGGTAAAGAGATGACTTCTGAGGCGCCTCAAAAGACGAGGCCAGGCCACAGCTGCTTCTTGAAGCTTCTCAAACCCCACCTGCTCGTCTTTTGAGGCGACTAAAAAAACTGCGGGTAAAGAGATGGCTTTTGAGGCGACTAAAAAAACTGCGGGTAAAGAGATGACTTTTGAGGCGCCCCAAAAGACGAGGCCAGGCCACAGCTGCTTCTTGAAGCTTCTCAAACCCCACCTGCTCGTTTCTCCCTGCTCCGCCTCCCTCTCAGGAGATCGCATGGCATCTCACATGTGACTTGGCCACAGCACAGTGCGACGGACACAACCCTGCCAGTCTCTTGGGCAATCGGTGGGGCCAAGCTCTTGAGAAATCATGATACTCAGCTCATTTCTTTCTGCCTCACCACTCTCGATCCCCTCCCCCTCTACTCCTCTCTCAGGAGATCGCATGGCATCTCATATGTGACTTGGCCACAGCGCAGTGCGACGGGGCACTGCCAGTCTCTCGCACTGTCAGTGGGGCCAACTGATCAACTAACCTCTTCCTCCTTCGCCACTCTCTTATCGCTGCTCTTGCACTCCTCTCCTCTCTCCCCCCTCTCAGGAGATCGCATGGCATCTCATCTGTGACCTGGCCACAGCGCAGTGCCACAGAGCCCTGCCAGTCTCCCGGACAGTCACTGGGGCAAACTGATCAATTGACCCAACTGACCTCGTCCTCCTGTACCACTCTCTTCCTGCACTCCTCTCCTCTCTCCTCCCCTCTCAGGAGATCGCATGGCATCTCATATGTGACTTGGCCACGGCGCAGTGCGACGGAGCGCTGCCAGCCTCTCGCACTGTGGGCGGGGTAAACTCGCCCAAACGACCTCTTTCTGCCTCACCGCTCTCTTTGAACCCTGAACCCTTCCCTCCCCTCTCAGGAGATCGCATGGCATCTGATATGTGACCTGGCCACAGCGCAGTGCGACGGAGCACTGCCTGTCTCTCGCACTGTCAGCGGAGCCAAGCTCTTCATGGTGCAGCCGTTTGTCAGGTGCGTGGGTGGGTGTGGGTGTGGCAAGAGATGTATGTGTATACAAGTGCACCCCGTGTGTTTCGGTTCGGAGCCCTGCCGGTCTCTTGCACTGCCAGCGGGGCCAAGCTCTTTCAGTGCTGCGTGGGTGTGCTGCATGTTGTGACTAATCAGTGTTTGCTTGTTTGCTTGATTCGCCTCGTCTGTGCCATCGCCCTGCTTCCGTGACCCTCTCACCCACCAGGCCGCTCCTCGAGTGGATAGACCGCCACCACACGCCCGACTCCCGGCAACTAGCAGTGCACATGATGCCTCTTCTTGGGTGAACCATCGCTGTCCCGTTATGCTGCCATCTCTCCTCCAACTCTCCACCCATCCCATCCCCCCCCCCACCACACATCAGACCGCTGCTCGAGTGGATAGACCGCCACCACACGCCCGACTCCCGTCAGCTAGCCGTGCACGGATGCCTGTATTGTGTGAACCATCTCTGTCCCATCATGCTGCCATCTCTCCTCCATCTCTCCCCTCACCACCCCTTCACCCACCAGGCTTCTCCTCGAGTGGATAGACCGCCGCCACACGCCCGACTCACGGCAACTCGCAGTGCACATGATGTGTGTTCTTGTGTGAACCATCTCTGTCCCATCATGCTGCCATCTCTCCTCCATCTCTCTCATTCTGCCCCCTTCACCCACCAGGCCCCTTCTCGAGTGGATAGACCGCCACCACACGCCGGACTCCCGGCAGCTAGCAGTGCACATGATGCCGCAGAACGTTCCAGGAAGCATCATCTCTGTCTGGAAGACCAGCAGCGTTCTACCCGCCTCCCCACAAACATCCCACTCTTTCGCTCCTTCTGCTCCTGCCGTTGCTCCTCCTGCTGCTGCTACTACTGCTACTGCTGGTGCAGCAGCTGCTGCTGCTGCTGCTCCCCTCACTGCCCCTCCTCCCACTGCTGCGCCCCATCATCCCACCATCCAAGCCACCGCCGTCACAGTCCCACACATTCCCACCGCGTCCCCTTCCTCTCTCCGGCATCCAGTCTCCTCGCGCCACGTGGCGGCTGCCAGGAAGCAGCTCTTTCCTGCCGATTCTCCCCTACTGTCCACGTCAGCATCGTCTGGGCTCCTGCCAGGTGGCGCCCGGGCGGGAATTCTCAGGCTGCCAGCTGGCACTCTCCCGCGGCAAAGCTTACATCATCAGCAACAGCAGCACACACCATCAACGTTATCGGTACCACAACCAGCAGCAACAGCAGCAGAACAACCAACATCATTAGCAGCAGCAGCTGCAGCGGCGGCGGTTCCTCTGCTCCCTCCTTGCTCAGAATGGATAAATTTCAAATTTGATAGCGCCGCCATTGTGCGTGCCATGCAGGCTGCGTGACTGACTGCTGCTATGTCTGCTAGCCTTAGCTTCATTGCTCGGCGGCGGTTCCTCTGCTTCCTCCCTGCTCGGAATGGATCAACTTCAAGTTTGATTGCGCCGCCATTGTGCGGGCCATACAGGCTGCGTGATTGCCTTCTCCTGCGTCTGCTAACTTTAGGTTCATTGTGCGGCGTGGGTTCCTCTGCTTCCTCAATGTTCAGAATTGACCGACGCCAATGTGCGGGCCATGCACGCTGCGTGACTGCCTGCCTGCCTACTCCTCCGTCTGCTAGCTTTACCGTAGGTTCATTACTCGGCGGTGGTTCCTCTGCTTCCTCCCTGCTCGGAATAGTTGCACTCCGGGTTTAATTGAGATTCCAGTGTGCGTATTCGCGTGTGCGTACCATACTAAAAGAGGGTTTCCAATGCATGATTTTAGGGGGTTTCCAGCTCATTCGGTTCTTCTATGTTCTTTGCGGTCTAATCCATTGTGCCACGGTGTGGCACGGTGAAGCTCAACACCAGATACCTACTTTTTTTAAGACGTCTCAAAAACACGGCGGAGCTCAACAACACCAATTGCCTAGTGGTACACATCATTTGGATGGAATGGTTATTCGTCCCCCGAGCCACTACGCATCAACTGTAAACGGAGTTGGAACTTGGACTTCCCATAGTACGGTAACGGAATCTGACACACCTTCAAATCAATTTCTTCCGAGTCACTTTAGAGAAGTTTCAGAGTGTCTCCCCTGAATCATATGATTAATTTCCAACCAATGCATGATACAGTACAACAAACATACACTCACTGAAGTTTGAATCTTGTAAGGAACCAGACACAACAGGCATCACATCACACCACAACCTATTGGTACCCCAGGGTGCAGCAGCAGCCCTCATCCCACGCACACAGCAACACAGATGGGTACTCAAACAGTACCCTGAACTGCAACATTAGTAGTAAGCTTTTGAGTCGACTAAAAAACCTACTGGTACCCCTGAAATGCAGCATTGCAAAAGCAGCCCTCATCCCATGCACACAGCAACACAGATACACCAGCAGTACCCAGAACTGCACCATTAGTAGTAAGCGAGGGAATGTGCCAGTGTGACTCTAACAGGCGTGTCCCCCACCAGTAATGTGACTATAGGAAACGGGCTCTCAGAAAACCCCTCTATTATCACACGCTGATCGCTCTTTGAAATGCTCTGCTGGCATCTGTACAATAAGCTTCCTTCCACATAAGGATAGGGTTCGGATTCATAGTGACTGCAGGGGACTGTGACTGTATGGGAGTCGGTCAAGGAGATGGTGGGAGAGGAAGGGGTGGAAGCTGAAGTTACCCCTTCGATTTGGGCTACAAAGTCCATGTGGCTTATGGTGTTGCGGTGGGTGGGGTGCCTGGAAAAAAAGGGTTGGAATAAAAGCAGGGGAGAAAGGGTGGCGAGAGAGAAGGGGAAATCGTGGAGAAAGAGAAATTGGGAGAGGGAGGCGAGAGGAGAGAAGAGAGGAGAAAGAGAGAGAGAGGGGGGAACGAGAAGAGCGTTATAGGTTAACTGCTATCATCAAAGTCTATCCTGGTTGAGAGGCTTATGCTTTTTGGGTGGGAGGTAGGGGTGTTTAAGAGGCTTGTATACACTAGAGTTTACGGCTGAACTGGAACAATATATATCTAAAGCATCTGTTTTCGAGTCGACTAAAAAATGGACTCAGTTCTCGGCTGAACTGGAACGATATATATCTTGAAAGGCTGACCTTCCTTCCAAGAACACCAAGAGAAGGAGTGGGGGGTGTGGGAATTTGGGGTGGAGTGGGGTGGGGTAGAAAGAAGGGAGGGAGGGAGGGTGGGTGGGGGGCCGGGTATGGGGGGAGGGGAGGAGGGGAGGGGAGGGGGGGAGGGAAGGAGGAGGTCGACATGATATAAGGCCCGTAGTATGAGAGATATAAAATGATAGTTGTCATAATATTACGGGCCTTATATGAGAGAGATATAGCATGATAGTTTGTATACAAATGAGGTCTCTGGTCGCCCAGGGGTGTGAGGGTGTGGGGTGGGATGGTGGAAAGGGGGAAGGGGGAGGGGAGGGGCGAGGGGGAGGGAGAGGGAGGGGGAGGGGAACGGAAAAGGAAGACTTTGAAGTGGGGGAATGTTTGAAGGCGGCAAGGCACTCACCGATGCACCTTCAGGCAGACGTCAACCGAAGAGAAGGGGTCTGATGGCGCGCCAAGTATGACCTCGCAATATGAGCCTGATGGGTACAGAGAAGAGTACGGTTGAAAGGATTGGAAAAGGTGAAGAGGTTACGTCTCTCGCAGGGGATGGAGAAGAGGGAGATTTTGTGAATTCTCAAAATCAACCTAAAAAAAAGAGTGGAACGAGAGTAGAGCTATTAATGAATTCTCAAACGTCTCTCGCAGGAGATGGAGAAGAGGGAGCGAGGGACCGGAATGAGAGTAAGAGAGGCGAGAGGGGGCGGGGGAACATGAATCACGAAAAGAGCAGAGATGGGAAGAGATGGAAAAAAACAGACCTTCCTCCCAAAAAAATAGCAGTGACTTCTCCCCTGGTGTCGGAAATTCTCTTGGGAACTCACCGATGACGTCATCGTCGGCAAAATAGACGTTGTCGGGAAGAGGATTCCGCGCAAGAGTGGCGGGGAGGAGAGAAGCAAGGAGGACTGCACGCAGGCAGAGAGACGTGAGGGAAGAAAACACGGAACGAAAACGGAAAGAAAACGGAAAGAAATCGTTGAGGCGCCGCCTCAACATTGATTTCATCTCACGAAAGAGCAACCGGGAGGAGAGCAGCGAGGAGGACTGCACGTGGGCAGAGATGTACGATGGACGGGAAAAGAAGGCGAAGAAAATATGCTTCTGCGTTTTGAAGCGCACAAAAACTGGGAAAGAAGGAAATGATATATAAAACTGGGTTTTTTTCCGTTGGAAAAGAAAACATCACCCAGTTTTTCAGAGGGTAACGTACGAGCAAAGGTGACAACGTCGGAAGGTTGACGCCGCGCCGCAGCAGCCATGGCTGGAGCGAATGAGAGAGAAAAAACCGGCACGATTGTTTCTTTCTTTTCTGACACGCCTCAAAGACCCACGGAGCCGTGACGGCCGTGGTACTGTGGCTCTCCTTGACCCAAATCCGCGCCGCTTTTTGAGACGACGGATCCACGACCGTCTCCAGTGGAGCTTTCCTTGAGCGGAAGCTGCGCGGCTGTGTGGCACATCAGCGGATAGCGGGCCTGAGACGTCTCGAAGCTCGACAGGTGGTGCTGCGCGGCTGAGTGTCCCGTTAGTCAGTTAGCGGGCCTCGCAACGGCGGTCGATATTGTCAGGTTAGTAAGCTAGCGGGCCCTCGCAATGGCGGTCGATATTGTCAGGTTAGTAAGCTAGCGGGCCCTCGCAATGGCGGTCGATATTGTCAGGTTAGTAAGCTAGTAACTCCTTCGTAGCTGGTTTTAGCTAAAAAGACGCACAGATCTGACCGAAAGGAGTCTTTCTTTCCCCTCCTTGCTCTCAACAGGGGGCAACGAGGCGACCTTATAATCGACTCGAAAAAAAGCCGGCGCGCAATTAGCAGGATTTATGGCGGCGTAGGTCCGACCTACTTGAATGGTCCTTCAACGTCCTCCTAAACCCGCTGGCAATCTCCGCTGAAGCAACGAGGGCGGACGCGCGGCGCAGGGGAACATTCGTTGAAAAAACGGCGGCGGCAACGGCCTAGTACCGCTTCTGCTGGGTTAGCAGAGGAGGAAGATAATTGGCGGAGCGAAACCGCGGTTAGAATGCGCACGGCGAGAAGAGACGCTACGGGCGCACTTAAAGCCAGGATCTCAAGTAGTTCAATTGTTTTGCAGTTGGTGAGGGGAGCTGGGCTGCGATTGGTTAGCGAGGTGAACAATCTGACGAGGTGTGAAGCGAGGGGTGCGAAGTAAAGACAAATCGCAAATTCAGTCCGAACCAAGCAAGGCTCGGAAACTGGTTCGGTGACGAAGCTCCAATGCCTGCAATTTCTCGTCACACACAACAATCTCATGTACCAGCAAAATGTTTTGCATTTGCTCTAGGGGCAAAATCGTGGGTGTGCCGCACGCTCACTTTCCTAACCAGCCAGTCAATTCGCCTACAAAAATAGGGTAACAAGCGCTGCAAGTGTTTTGCAATTGAAGGCCAATTCTCTTACTTGAGATCCTGGCTTTAATGGATCTTCGACAGAGAACAGAAACGCGAAGAGCACTCTTCCTCCCCCACAGACACTCGCGGAAACTCGAGAGACTCGAGCAGGGAGCTGAGGGTTTCAGAAAGTCGAGTGTGAAAGAGCGGTTGTTAGTATCTGAACGGCAATCGTGCTTCTCACACTCTCTGCCGGTATCTGAAGCGCACGACCGGCGACTGCACGAGATGAGAAACCCACCAAAGCTGGCAGAGATCTCACATGAAGGAAGTGAGCAGTGGTGGGCGTGGGTGGGAGTGGAGTGGAGTGGAGTAGAGTGGAGTCGAGGAGGCTACCTGGTGGTCGGTGCGTCGAACAAGACACGAACTAGGCAACATTTGTTCAGAACAGTACAACAAACGTGGGTCCCAAGCCTTCGTCTGTATGCGGCTTGACAGGCTGGGTAGATTGCGAACCAATAGGGTGTTCTTTTAGCTTGTTCATCTTGAGCATACTTCTTTTATGGGCATAATCATGGGTTCTGGTGGTTTGGGGGGATTGATAAACGTTCTGGAGTACAGTTCGACACATCGGTTGAATGAAGAGGGCGGTTTGGGAAACTCGGCAGCATACACGGGCAGGTGTGGACCAATGGTTGAGGTTCGGAGATGGAGGGAATCGGGGTTGACTTTTCGCGGTACTGTTTAGAAGAGGGTGGGTGGCTGAACGGCGTCCGGCGGTTTCAGCGGTGGCAGTGAGTGTGAAGCAGCGTGAACGCCGGCAATGCAAGCAGTGCAGCACAGCACCACCACCACTGTAGGCATGGGCAAGGAGTTCTGCACACGAAAGTATCAGGCACCTGAACAGTAGTTCGCGACGCACTAGCACCGCTGCGCTCTCCAAATGTTCGCGCAGTTCCCGTTGCTTTCTTCGCTCAGATTGTGTTACTGTCTCCGATAGTGCAATGTATGTTCTCCCTAGAGAGAGACTTTTCGATTTGTTTCCTTATCTCGTGTTTAATCCCTCCACCTCAATTTCATCTGAAGGAACCCTAATTGTCTACACCGTACTCCGTGCTGTTGTCGGGTTCGCTATCTATTTGCGACGCTTCGGTAATTGCTACTTGTAACCACATCGTTGACTACGTGAGACAAGCTCCACCATACCTCACTACCCTAAATTGTTCCTCAAATCGCTTCACACCATTTCGAACATCTTTTATACCATTCCTCAACCTGGATCGACTCCTAGTATCCTAGTATCCCGTTCATTACCTCCTTTCAGCTTCTCGCCGCCTGGTCCAATAATTCGCACAGATTATGCGTGAGTCAGCATAACTGCTGGATAGAGAGTCTCTGAAGGTGACCAGCGTCAGCAGCAGCAGCAGCAGCAGCGGCAGCAGCAGCAACCTTAGACGTTCCGCCTTTATTTTGTTGTTCCAGCAGTTCTTGCCAGCAGTGCCATCTCCCTTCAGCTGACACGTCGCGCTCTGCGATGTCGAACGAGCTTCATCTCCGACCGCAGAAGGATTGGCAGCAGCAGCAGCAGCGAGAGCAGCAGCAGCAGCAGCAGCGAGAGCAGCAGCAGCAGCAGCAGCGAGAGCAGCAGCAGCAGCAGCTACTGTCGCAACAATGGCGACATTACGAGGACACGATCCCGCAGTTGGCCGCGGTGTCGCACATCGAACCGCTTTCTCTCTATCGCCTTTGTCGCGAGAGGATTCAAGGGGCAAGCTACGGTTCTGGGGTTTCAGAAAATACTCCGTCGCCTCTGGTTGCATCTGGGCCGTTGATTTCGCACTCGTCTAATCATCTAACGGGCCGGCAGCTCTTGCACATGCCGTCAGCAGCTACTGCGGGGATAGCATCAACGCCAGCACAAGCGCCAGTGGTACGCGCAGCAGCAGCGCCGGCAGCGGGAGGACCAGGAACGGAAGAACCACCAGCAGCGGAAACCGCAGGAGGTGTTTCAGCAGGAGACGAAGCAGCAGCTGCAAAACGAGGGTTAGGAGTGGAACGACGTGAAGGAGAAACAGCCGAGGGGGACGCACTGCGAATCACGGGTGCTGAAGCTGAGAGAGAATCGCAACGAGAATCGTCGCCTCTTTTTCAGTTAAACCGTGTCTCTTTTGCACGTGGGGGAAACGTGGAGCCTAGTGGGGAGCTGGAGAGATGGCTAAAGAGGCAGGAAAGTCAACAGAGTCAACGAAGTCACGAACGGATGGGGAGTCAACAATCGCGGAGACGGGACAGGAGGGCTGGCAAGGACGGGGAAGTGGAGGGGGAGAAGGAAGGAGGGGTGGTGGAGGATAAGGAAGAAGAGGAGGGGCTGGAGAATGGGGAGGGTAATGAGGAGCGGGAGAGAGTGAACAAGAGGAGGAGAGAGCGCAACGAGCAGTGGGAACAAGATGACGGACGGGGAGAGATGGATGGGCCCGCATGGGAATCATGTCTTTCTCCAGAGCAGCTGCTGCACTCACATGTTCAAAGATTCAAGTCCATCCGCAGAAGGTGGGTGATCTATTAACGATACGTCTCAATATTCTTTATGTTCAAGTGTTTAAGTCCATTTGCAGAAGCTGGGTGCTTTGTTCACACTCTGTGAGCTCATGGTGTTGTCAGTAGTGTCTATTCGCCTCTTATCAAATTGTGTTTTCTTTCCCACGTACATTGGACGATAATTCGTTTGCAAGCTGTGAGCCCCCCCCCCCCCCCCTCCCTGCTCCTCCCCCTCCCTCTCCCCCCCACCCTCCCCCCCCCCGTCCCTCTCCCTTTTGGCTGATACAGCCTCATATGTAACCCACTATCTTCTCCTCCCTCCAGGATTTTTTCATCTTCTCTGATTTTCCAGCTCTCCCACCTCTGCTCCAATACCCACCCAGGACAACTTATCAGTATTACTTTTACGTTTTCTTTCCTCTCCTATTGCAGTTATCAAGAGGAATTTATCGACAGAGCCAGGAAATGTTTGAAACAACTGGAAGAGATATTGATTCCATCAGTAGGCCATGCACAATTTCCGTCTCCCGTGCTCCCGTCCATTGACGACTCCTATGTTATGCGCCAACTAGGGATAGCCAGCCACTTAAAGTAGGGCACAAGCCCAAGGACCGTTATCTTGCTTAATTAGTAAATTACTCGTATTCTGTGCGCTGATTAGGTATAGCCAGCCGTCTGGAGATGGTATAGATAAGGGATAGCCTGGTGCAGGATGCTTCTTTTATTCAATTAACAAACAGCCGTTTTAGCTTGTAGTATTTGAGAGTTAAGGTGTAGCAGTCGGCAACTTACAACACCCCGAGATTTGGCGTGTGGTCTGCCTATGCGACGACAGGAATCGCAGCTTGCAACGGCAGAACAAGTCCCTCGATACATTTCACTAGGTAGCGTCGGCTAGCGCCCGGTAGCGGCCTCGGTAGCGCTACCGGGCTCCGGGCTGTTACAAGTCCCTCAGTCGATTTGCATTTCTTTCCGAATCTATTCCACTGTAGCGTACAGTGTGCGTGGTGGAGAATGCTGCTGGCTTCCAGACAAAAGGTGTCGTACAGAGTTTTTTCCCCCAGTTTGCACCAGCCAGCACGAAACACCTTGCCAGAGAAGTCGTCCGTAGTTTCAAGGGCAGATGTGGGGCGTTTTTGTTCACATGTAACAGTTCAGGTCACAAGACCAGAGCAAGGTACATGTACTGTCGATTGTTTCACCAATCAAACTGAGAAGCTCGCGGCGCCTGCTCTGCCCCAATGCTCTGCCCCGATGTTCGCCTTTTTAAGCGCGGATTTATAGTTTGTTTAAGCGCGGATTTAGAGTTTTTTTAAGCTCGATTCGAACCGTTTTACAGTAATACTACGGATGGATAACGTTTTTATTTTCCACCGCTTTGGACCATTTCGCACACCTACGCCTACCAAGTCAAAAAAGACCCACTCTTAGGGCGTATCCAACTTCGGTCATCGGCACTGTTCGGGTCATCCGAGATTCTTGGAAGACCAATCAGGCGCATTTTAGTTACATTAATCGAATACCATTGGTCCTTCCATGACCCAAAGTGTACTGATGACCCTAATAGTGCCTATGACCCGAAGTTGGATACGCCCTTAGCCCCGAAGGATGGGTTGCGTTGAACCCCGACGGACCGAGCCAAACCCGTAGAAGGGCTTTCGTTTCGTATCAACCACACGAAACCACTGTTGTACAGTATGAACTGTGCTTCGTAACAAGTGGTTCAGTACGACGCCGTGACCTGTACTGAACTCTGAAACGTTTCACCGCCTGGTACCGTTATTCACCTTTACACAACACAGCCTGGACGGAACCCGAACCGACCCGAGCCACCTACCAAACGGCATGAACAGTGAACCTAGAAATCGTCAAATTGTCAAGCCAAGGAATCTGGCATACTGTACAGTACCGTGGAGTTGTCTTGTCATGCCTTGGAATTGTCATCGTCGTCATCAGCAAGCAAGGCTTTGGTTTGGATGTAGGAATCGTAATCACTCATTCACGTTCTTCCACAAGCATCAAAGCTCAGATACAGGACGTTAGCCAGTTCATGCCATCTGTCGTCCACACTGTGGAGTCGAGACACACCCGCTAGGACAAGCCCTACAGCGACGATTAATCAGCCAAACGTCTGATACGGTATCGTCGTCAGGGGAACTCGTTCCGCTATGGTTCGCACCGCGCTAGAATCGATACGGTTTTTTTGTTCTCGTTTTTGGTAACCCTGAAGCAGTGTTCTCATCCATCGTTGGTCTTAGAGTGTTCTTAGCCGACTATGCTACAACCAGAGCTCCTTCTGGGGCGCCTGAAGAGTTTTTGAGTGACTTTCAAAGCCTAAACTTCAAGTTTAAGTTGGTGTTTCGCCAGTTGTTGGTCTTTAAGTGACTCGGAAGCGTTCTTCCGCTACAACCGGGCTACTAACCGAAGCCCCGCTTTTTCCGCGCTATGGTCAGCGCCACAGGAGCGACAATCGCGCTTCGAGATATCAAAACGCCGCCGTCCCAGGAGCCGTGCCGCGACGGCGGGGCAAGATTGAACTTCACGGGAGCGCGTTTGACGGCGGATTCCGCGGCACGTACGCTTCAGAGGAAGCGTATTTGTCTACTAAGAGTGGCCTGCCGCTGGGGTGTAGACAACAAGAGGCCTTGCTCATGTTTCACAACCATCAACAGCCGCCGCCGCCGCCGCCGCCGCTGCCGGCGGTGCATCCGCCGCAGCAGCCACATCTCACCGCAGCGCAACAGGAAATCGCTTCGCAGAACCAGATAAGGAGCTTCCTATTCACGGCGGCGGCGGGGGCGGCGGCGGCGCCCGCCGTCCCGCCGGTTCCGCCGGTTCCTCCAGCGCCGGTTGGCGGAAGCCGCCGCGCAGGCCTTCCTTTTTTTTCCCCTGTTGCGAGCGTAGCTGCTTCCGGTTCGTCAGCTGCCTACGACGGCGCGGCGCCGACTGACGGCGGCGGCGGATTTGGCGGATTTTTCGGCGCCCCAGCGGCGGCGGCGGCAGCGGCGACGCCGCCCCTGTGGAAAACCCGCGGAACTGGCGGCGTCCTCAGTGCAACAGTCGGTAGATCTGCGGGGGAGCAAAGCGCAGAGGATTTCCGCGGTGAATGGGGCGGAGCGGAGGATGGGAGATACGGGGACGGGGACGGGGACGGGGACGGGGACGGGGACGGGGAGGGGGAGGGGGAGGGGGAGGCAGAGGGGCAGCAGCAGAAAGCGAACACGAATGCAAAAGGGCAATGGACTCCGGTGAGAAGGGGTGGAATGCGGGAAGGCACGGTTTTGAGCGGTGCGCGGAGGGATTAAAGTGCTGTAGGAAGGGTTGGATTGATTTAGGGAGGAGTGCAGTGGGGGTGGAAACGGTATGGCAGGGTGGAATGTGGTGAGGGAGAGTGGAACTTGGTGAAGGAGTGGGATGTAATATGCATGTTATGAGAACATAAGAATGCGCCTTAAAAGGAAACTGAGAAGTAGAGTCTGAGGCAGGATCTTACAGTGTGGTGCCTGAGAGAGAGGGAGAGTTGGAAGAGAGTTTGCGAGAGGGAAAATGTGAGAGGAAGAGCGTTAGCCAGCAGTAAACCGTTTGACCCCACAACCTACTTTTTTTTATACCTAGTAGACATGCACCTCAAAGAGGAGGACGTTTCGACAGGCTCTGTAATTGGGCCCCGGGCCAGCCTGAGCAATTGACAGATAATGAACCGCTTACCTTCAAAACCTAATCCCGTCGAGCCATGCATCCTTAACAGGAGGAGGATGCTTTGCTGCGTCAGCTGGTGGAGAGAGGCGGAGCCAAGGGGTGGACGGCCATAGCAGTGTGCTGGAATGATCCTCCCTTTGTCTCTCCGGTCACAATCCCGAAATGTGATACATCCGTCCCTCCATCTCAGGAGGAGGATGCTTTGCTACGCCAGCTGGTGGAGAGGGGCGGAGCCAAGGGGTGGACGGCCATAGCAGCGATAAAATCTGCCCAACCCACAATTCCTCATTTTGTTCCATCCATAACAGGAGGAGGATGCTTTGTTGCGTGAGCTGGTAGAGAGGGGCGGAGCCAAGGAGTGGACGGCCATAGCAGCGCATTTCAATGATCCACCTTTTTGCCCCTTGGCGCTTATACCCATATCCTTTATTTGCTACATCCATCCATCCATCCATCCATCCATAACAGGAGGAGGACGCTTTGTTGCGTCAGCTGGTGGAGAGGGGCGGAGCCAAGGGGTGGACGGCCATAGCAGCGCATTTGAATGGGCGCGCGGGGAAGCAGTGCCGGGAGCGGTGGCACAACCATCTGAAGAGGGGCATCAAGAAGGTGATTATAACGAGGATAATTGGGTGATGAGAGTGGTGATGAGGGTGGTGATGAGGGTGATGTTAACGGGATTGAATGGAGGAGTGAGCCTAGGGGTGGACGGCCATAGCATCAACGGGTGCACTATGAATGGGCGGGCGCGCGGGGAAGCCGCAGTGTTGGGAGCAGTGGCACAACCATCTCAAGAGGGGCATAATGAAGGTGATTTTAATGGGTAATTGGGATGATAAGGGATCTGGTACTAACGGGAATGAGGGAGTGAGCCATAGCAAGAGGCCTGGATAGAGCAGGAGGAGCGAGCTTTTGCGAAGGCTCACAAGCGGCTGGGCAACAGATGGGCTGAAATCGCAAGACTACTACCAGGGAGGACCGACAACAGTGTAAAGAACCACTGGAACTCAACAGCCCAGCCCGGCTCAGTCTTGCACTGCTCCCCATTCTTCCCCATTCCTCCTGCGTTTCCGGCCTGGTTTGCTTGGCGATCGCAGGAAGCGTGGACGGAGGAGGAGGAGCGGGCTTTTGTGGAGGCACACAAGCGGCTGGGCAACAGATGGGCGGAGATCGCAAGGCTACTACCGGGAAGAACAGACAACAGCGTTAAGAACCATTGGAACTCCACAGCCCGGAGGAAGGAGGAGATGGGGCGAGGAGGGGCGGAGGGCAAGGGGAGTGGGAGACCGGGCAGTGCTGGCAGTGTTGGTAGTGCTGGGAGTGCTGAGAGTGGGGGTGGTGGGGGTGGTGGTGGGAGTGTGGGCAGGGGCGGGTATAGTGGTCGATCGAATGTGCTCCTGCGGTATATCCAGTCGCTGAAGCAGGGGGGCCGGAGCGAGAGCGGAGGGGGGGAGAGCAGAGGAGGGGAGAGCGGAGGGGGGGAGAGCGGAAGGGGGGAGAGCAGAGAGAGGGAGAGAGGGAGCAGAGGGGGGGAGCAGCAGAGCAGCAGAGGGGGAAGGAGCGAGAACAAAAGGGGGGAGAGGGAGAGGAGTAATGGGAAAGAGGGCGATGGGGAAATCAGAAGCGTTGGTAAAGGAAGGAGGGAGAGAGAGGAGGGGAGAAGGAGGGAAGGAGGAGAGAGAGTGGGGGAATGGAGTGAGAGGGGGAGAGTGAGAGCTCTGGACGAGGGAGGTATGGAGGCTTTTGAAAGTTTTCAAAAATCAACTGGAGTTATAAGTAGACTTGTATTTGAGAAGACTCATAAGTCAAGTGGAGGCATGGAGGTCGATGGCTTTGGGGGAAGGGGATTGGAGCAGAAGCAAAGAGAGTTTAGGGCACAGCCACTTTCGCTACAGCCGGCAATGCTACAGCCGGACATACTACGAGTGGCAACACTGCAGCAGCAAAGCATGCTACAGCCGGCAGTGCTACAGCCGGCAGGGCTACAGCCGGCAGCGGTGCAGCCAGCCACACAACAAGCAGCTGCCTTTGCGTCTCAGAATCCTTCTGTGAAGATGGAAATAAGGGGGGAGGAGATAGGGGAGAAGCGAGAAGAGGAGGAAGAGGGAGAGGAGAGAGCATGCAACGATGTGGAATGGAGAATGAAGGGGATGCATCTGGGGTTGTCAGCATTGGTACCAGCTGCAGCAGAACGAGCAGCAGCAGCAGCACCAGCAGCAGCAGCAGCAGCACTGCCACTTGTTGCTAACAGCACCAATTGGGCCTCGCATCAACCAATGCAGGTAGCATGTGAAGAGCCTCAACGAACAGCAGCAGCAGCCTCAGCCTCAGCAGCAGCAGCAGCCAACACCCCTGATTTTCCTCCACCTTCTCACCAATCCCAGCATCCTCTCAGCTACCAATCAAATAGGAATGTGTTCCCCCATCCCTCCTCACCGCTTCCTTCCTCCACACTCCTTCCTCCCTCCTCATTCCTTCCTCCCTCCTCACCTCCTCCCCATGCATCCCCTCCCTCCACTTTAACTCCCACTCCACTCTTCCCACTGACCCAGCATTCAACATCACACCAATCTGCTAACTATAATCATTCCCCCGCACCACACTCACCTCCTCCTGCTCTCTCTCTCTCCCTCGCCCACACTGCCCCTAGTCCCTCTCAACCTCACCAGCCGTCCTCCCCGTTTCCCCCACCGTCTAATTCTCACCTCCCCTTATCCTCGTTCGCACTCTCCCCCTTTGCGTCGCCTCAAAAGTCAACTTTTCCTCCACCGTCTAACCCTGACCTCCCCCCATCTTCTTCATTCTCACTCTCATCCTTCAAGTCAGCTCGAGATTCACCCCCGCTTCCCCCACCGTCTAACTCTCACCTTCCCTTATCTCATTCACTCTCACTCTCCTCCTTTAAGCCAATTCAAAATTCACCCCCGCTTCCCCCACCGTCTACCTCTCACCTCCCGTTATCTCATTCACTCTCACTCTCCTCCTTTGAGCAGACTCAGAAGTCAACCCCTCCTGAGCCATCCACCTCTCACCTCCCACTATCCACTCTCTCACTCTCCCTTTTCGAACCCGCACATACTCCAGCTTTCTCCCCCTCTTTAAAAGGAGAGCAGGTGTACATAACAACGAAACAGGAGCCAACACAAGAGGCATATCTCGAGAATCCCCGAACTGCGGCAACACAAATGCCACGCATTTCTCGGGATACGCCGCCTTGTCCTGTGGAGGCACAGGTTGCAGCAACAGGAGCATTCCGAGAGACTCCTGTTCCTATGGAGGCCCAGGTGGCAGCGCGAGCATCGCAGGAGGGAACACGAGAGGCGTGTTTTCAACATCCTCAGAGCAAGCCTGCAGCAACAACCCCAGAGGCAGGACCTGCATTAGCCCGGGAGGCACCTTTTGAGAATCCTCAAAATCCTCAGAATTCTCAAAATTCTCAGAATTCTCAGAATGTGCCCGCAACGGCTCGGGAGGCAGCACACAAAGCGCACAACCGGTCCCTGTTAGCGTCACGGCTTATGCGATCGCTGGGAGCAAAGAGGGCCAGGAGGCAGAGTGAAGGAGGGGTGGAGCAGAGGCAGCAGCAGCAGCAGCAGCAGCAGCAGCAGCAGCAGCAGCAGCAGCAGCAGCAGCAGCAGCAGCAGCAGCAGCAGAAGCAGCAACACAGGACAACAGAAGCGTATCCAAACAACCATTCTTCACAGGACATCCCAACCAATCCCCACAACAGCAATCTCACTGATCCTTCTCGAAACATTTCAGCTGACCCGCAACCTGCCCCAAAAAGACGGTGCCTGCTGCAGCGCAGTGTGGCTGGGCCGCTACCTGGTGCTCCTGTAGCTGCTGTGGGTGGCACGTTCCTGCTGGTTGGCGAACTGAGCCTCACTCTTTCGTCCTCTTGCCTGATGCCGATTTCTGCCGGACAGGAAATATTGGGAGACGATCCTGTAAAGATTCAGGAAGCACCATTGGTGGTTGGAACAGGGAGTGGGTTGGGGAGAGAGTGTAAGAAGGGAGGGATTGAGGGGGAGAGAGTGGAAGAAGGAAGGGGATGAGGTGGAGAGAGTGGAATAGGGAGGGAGGAGAGAGAGTTAGAGAGTGGAGTAGGGAGGGAGTGAGGGAAAATCGAGAGGATGAATCATTCAGTCAGGGAGATTTCAAGGTTACAGGCAGGAAGCTATGGGTGGATAATATGGAAGTCCATCTGATATTATATAAAGATGCTATGGATTTATAAGTTTACAGTGTGCAGAAGTAGCGCCTGTTATCAAGCCTGTGCCAAATGGTGGTTCTAGGAAAGTGTGTTGGCCTGTTTATTGCATATGAAACGCCATTTCCCACTGTATATTCACAGCTGTGCTGCTGAGACTGCTTGATACTTCGAGCTTGTAGCGATTGATTGCGACGCACAACCTGGTTTGCGGGTTCGTAACAGCTTCTTCATAATTCGTGTAGATTCGCGGAGCCTCAGTTTGCGTGTCTCTGCGAGTTGCGAATGTTAGCATTGGTTCGCGACAGAAACAACCACGCATGACTTTGCTAGTCTCAAGTAATTTGCAGAAGAGTGTCCAGCTACATGCGGGAGCAAGTGCCGTTTTCGGCAATCCCTAGATGCGGCTCGTCGGCAAGTCTTCTCGAGGTTGACGTGCAACATTCTGTATAGAGCAACTTCTCTCAGTCAGCCAGAATCCACAAGTACCCAAGACTCGACTCCAATCAGGTAATATTCACATTACCTGATTGGCAGATCAGATTATACCTCTTTTCCATCAAACCAACCCAGATCCTAAGTGCCAGCAATGGACATTCCTAGAACCTAGTTAGTGCGAAAGACGAGTCGCGTCAGACGACTGCTCGAAACGCTTTACCATGGAATTCGCCTTCGGAGTAAATGACGTTTGTAACATTGGTAGATTCGTTTCACGCAAACATGTTCTTTCCACGTTTTGCGGCGCTGAATGAGTGCTGATAGACGTTTTGCTTCCCAATGCAGCCGGCGAACAACCAGAAATAATCGGATCCGACCTTGTTGATACCCTAAAAGCACCAAATATCCCAGGAAAACTCGGTTTCCTGTTTATCAATAACTTGTCTGCTCGGGTCCTTTGCTGTCAAGCTGATCCGCAGTCCAGATTAAGCGTGGTGGATGCTCACTATGTCCGAAATAATTTTTATCGCTGAACCCAAGAATCCGTAGCTGTTTCGTAGCTGCGTCGGCCATTGTCGCTAGTCCGTATATGGTCCGAGGGACGGTGGTTCGCATTTAGCCGCACACAGCGGACGTGGTCGGCTACTATTTGCACCGTCACGGTCCGTCGTAGCCAGATATAAGCATCCGTTACAGTACATTGACGTTTTGAGACGTCGCAAAAACAAATTCGTAACCTCACGGTCCGTCGTAGCCAAGAAATATGGTCTGTCACAGTACGATCGCGGCTCGTGTGACCATGAACCTCCTCCACGTGTCGATTGTGATCCTTCTACTTCTCGTGACCGTTGCGCTCCCCGCACGATTCGTCAGAGCGGCGGATCCGGTTCAGCCCTCCGAGGAAGATCCGTACTTGGAGGCCGTCCGAACCTTGTACCAGGTATGCTTGTACCGCGGATCTGCGTCACAGCCTGTAGCAAGCATTTGTGAACGACGAATAAACCTGCAACCTCGGTCAGCCCATAATCTATCTCCTCGGTCAGTCCCTACTCCCCAGTGTTCCCCATCCCAGCCGTTCTTCCCCTTCACCCCCTCCCTCTCCCCCCCCTCACTCCAACCAACTCACTCATACTTCCTAGACAGAAGGAGCCTCCTCTTATCGCACCCGCCGTTTGATCCCTTTTAACATAGAGGGGATCCGCAACCCCCTCCATCTCTTTTCTCCCTGATGTTCTCCTCCACTCTAATCCTCCTCCTCTTGTCCCCCCGGACAAAATCACCCCTCCCTCCTCCCGCAACCAGCACTGGGACAGCGCCTACGGGCTGCAGGCGGAGAATACATTCCCCCCTTCCGCCATCTCGCTTCCCCCGGACGTCCCCCCCGCGCCTCACCTGGAGGACTGTGAGGCGCGCACAGTCTTCCGCCTGTCCACGGAGAAATGGGGGAAGCGGGGGGAACCGCCCTTCTGGGCTGTACCCAACCCTGCATGCGGCAACGTCCCCCAACCTCCCTGGGTGAGAGTTGCATCATGTGCGGTGCAGTGCAGTGCGGTGCTGGGCTGTGCTTTAGCTGTCTGTTACATGATTCTGCATGTTGGCCGTGCGTTACATTTGTTCTTTTCAGCATTGTTTTAGGGAAACAATAAGGATATCGGGTAAGCTGTTTTTCTGTCCTATCTGCTGCTCCTCACTTCGGAACAGCGCACTGGGTACCTTGCAGCACTGCCAACCCACCACCCCTCTTCCCTACCCCGACATATGGCGACAGCAGTTCCCGCCCAACCAGTGCAAGGGGCGGCGGGTGATGCTGGTGGAGTGGCTGAGCATGGGGTGGCACGGGATAGGGTCGCAGCTGCACGTGATGGGCGCTGTGCTGAGTGCCGCCTTGGTGCACAACAGGACTCTCGTTCTCATGCCCGGCACTCTGCCCCAGGCGAACCACGAGGAATGCGAGAGTGAGTGGGAGTGAGTAAACGAGCTAGGTAGTCATTCTATCAGTCAGTCAGTGAGTGAGTGAGTGAAGCTCTTAAGGCACATGAGAAATTTCCTCCCATAGTGCATCCGAAGTTACATCCGAAGTGCATAGAGTTGTGCCTCCTACCTTTTGCCTCTTCTCAGAACTGGGCCACCAGGGGTCGCTCGACCGCTACTTCTTCCGCTTCTCGTCCCAGGAGTGTGAGGAGGTCGCTCTGAAAGCACTTTTGAGTCGACTCAAAAGCAGGGGTCGCTCGACCGCTAATTCTTCCGCTTCTCGTCCCAGGAGTGTGAGGGGGTCGCTCTGAAATCGCCCCCCCCCCCGCCCCTCCCCCCTCCTCCCAAACATACTTACCCACACTGCTGACTCGTATTGCATTGCGTGTGATCCCCTTCCCCTTTGCCTTTTCTCAGACCTCGGCCACAGGGGATCGCTTGAGTTCTGCTTATTCGCACGCACTTGCAGGCACTCGCAGGCACTCGCAGGCACACATATCTGACTTGTACTGCACGTGCGTTCCCCTTGCCCTCTGCCTAAGCAGGGCTGGGCCACCGGGGGTCGCTCGAATGCTACTTCTTCCGGCTCTCGTCCCAGCAGTGTGAGGAGATTGCTCTCAAGGCACAAACCCTCATCAACGTGTGTTCCTCTTGCCCTCTTCCCTCCCAGAGTTGGGCCACAGGGGGTCGCTTGACTGCTACTTCCTCCGGTTCTCCTCCCAGGAGTGTGAGGAGATCGCTATCAAGGCACGTCAGGCGTGGAGGGATGCTGAGGAGAGGAAACAGCAGGCTGCTGCCGAGGAAAAGGAGAGAGAAGAGAAGGAGAGGGAAGAGAAGGAGAGGGAAGAAAAGGAGAGGGAAGAAAAGGAGAGGGAAGAAAAGGAGAGGGAGGAGGAGCAAGGAGGAGGAGGCGGCGGCGGTAAGGGAGGAGAGGGAGATTCCAAGGAGGAGGGAGGGGGGCACGTTGAAAATGGTGTCGGGAGGAGGCTCCTGCAAGCAGCAATCAAGAATGGTAGTGCTGATGTATCAGATTCTGATACAGCTGATGGCACTGGCAGTGATGATTCTGGTGATTCTAACGAGGAGCTCAAAGGAGGTGTGACAAGCGAGGATGTGATTGTAGCAGAGCCGTGCGACGGTGTGTGGTGTCTGGGCTCGGATGCTCTGGTGATCATCCCAGCAACGCCAGGGTTTGGTGTGGATGGAGGGTCCAACTTCATTTCCCAGCTCAATGTGTCCGCTGCAGAGTGAGTGAGTGTGTGTGTGATTACAACGAATCCATGTGTGACCATGTGTGTTCTTTGGGTTTGGATTCTCTGATGTGATCTTTCCTGCGAACCTGGGTTTTGGTGTGGATGGATGGAGGGTCGAACTTCATCTCCCAGCTCAACGTGTGAGTGGCGCATCTGTGGGGGGAGGGGGCGGTAGGATGGAAGGTTAGAGCGCACTTTTCAAGAATGTCAGGGTTTCATGTGGTGTGGATGGAGGGTCGAACTTCATCTCCCAGCTCAACGTGCCTGCTGCAGGCAGAGTGAGTGATTTAGGGTTTTAGAACAAAGGAATGATGCATGTGCAACTGTGTGATTATAACGAGTTCGTGTGACCATGAGAGGTCCCTGGGCTCGGATGCTCTAGTGACCTTCTTCCCAGCGACCCCGGGGATTGGTGTGGATGGGGGGGTCAAACTTCATCTCCCAGCTAAACGCTCCAGCCGCAGAGTGAGTGATGCATGTGTTTAACCAGGTCTTTTGTGTGTGTATATCCAAAGCGCCCTCACTCCCCTCTCTCAAACGAGGTGATGGGGCATATGAGTACGCTACGCTCACACATAACAGGGGCCTGCCTCCCACTCCTATACCCTCCTCGCAACCCCCCCTCCTCCCGTTTCAGGGATTTTTTTAGAACTCTATAAAAATCCCTGCAACGAGGTGATGGGGCATATGAGTACGCTCACACTCACACATAGGAGGGGCCTTTCTCCCACTCCTATCCCCTTCTCGCGACCCCCCCTCCTCCCCTTTCCACTGCGCAGCCTCTGGGGGAATGCGTATCTGAAGAGCCCTCTGCCCAACGAGGTGATGGGGTGTATGAGCACGCTCACACACATCAAGGGGTGTATCTGAGGAGCGAGGTGATGGGGTGTATGAGCACGCTCACACACATCAAGGGGTGTATCTGAGGAGCGAGGTGATGGGGTGTATGAGCACGCTCACACACATCAAGGGGTGTATCTGAGGAGCGAGGTGATGGGGTGTATGAGCACGCTCACACACATCAAGAGGTGTATCTGAGGAGCGAGGTGATGGGGTGTATGAGCAAGCACTCCGAGTTCCTCTGGGGGAATGCTGTTATTATAGCATTCCCCCGAGTTCCTCTTGGGGAATGCGTATCTGAAGAGCGAGGTGATGGGGCGTATGAGCACGCTCACACACACCA